ATGTTTACTAGTCAGCACTGATTATACAGTTCATTCTCAGCAATTTCTAATGAGTTGAAAGATTTCATATTCCTGAGTGAATTGTGACTGTGAGGATGGGTGTCCCAGCAATGACAGGGCATGTTAAGTGTCATTTCCTACAACTGTAAGGAAATAACTTCCAGGGGAAGTTACGTAAATCCAGCCTCTCTCCTTGCCTTTATTTCTCAGTAATGCTTGTAAAGGAAATACTTCCTTGAATAACCTACTGAGGTGATTGTAAATGAAACTGTCCATGTTAAGAATGCAATATTCTGTTGGAATTAGGGACTTATTAGTTCTATTATTCTACTGCATGAAGAAATTAGTGCACCTTTGTAAGTTGTTTTATGTTTAGTTCATGTGGCTTAGAGTTATGACATGGAGGACGTTGTTATTGCTGGGTGTAAAGTAGGTTTATGTGGATACCAGTACAAGGGAGGAATAACTAAATGGGAGGACTGCAGTGTGGCAGCAGTGAACTTTTCAACCAGGGATTTATAAATGACCTTATCACAATCATAACGACAGGTAGAAAGAAAACAGTCAAGTTTAGAGCATTTTTCAACAAAAGAATGAATGGTCCATGTCACTATGGGTCTCTATTGGAGGGAGTGATATATTTCAGCCAAACTTGAAAACAAATTCTTTGTGGGAGAGCAACAGTGGAACCTAAACAGATGGTTACTATGAAAAGTCCTAGACAATTGGAGCTTTGACAATTTTGCAAGCTATAATATGCATTGATTTCTGGATCCTACATGACAATAAGAGAAAGTTGACAGGTCCTAGGGACAAAGCTCCAATCCTAATTCACCCGCTATTATTCTCCACATACTTGAGTTGCCCAGAAAAGCTAGTGTTTGTCAATTTTTCTCAGTCTCAATAACCAGGTAGCTTAGACTAGTCGTCTTGTCCCTCAGTCAAAAGTGATTGCTGTATTTCGTTGAGTTACCTGAAAAACATGATGTTATTACAATGATTAAGTGGGGAAAAGAAGTTTTTGCAGGCCGATTGTTTATTGCTAAGTAATAGATTGATATTGTTTTCATCATCAGTAGATAGTTGTCTTGCACTTGGTAAAGAAGAATATGTGCTTTAAGGTGATAACTGTAATGCAGAGGATATGAAAACAGAAAAGTTCATTTAGATGTTAAAATACCTGTTGTAAAATATCTGTCGACAATATGCAAGTCAGGTGGAGATAGTTTACCATGTGTTGAACCTGACTAGGGTTTTAAAATAGGTGTCATACATTTCATCACATATTTAATGTATTCTCTGATTTATCGCTCTTGCCATTTTAGCTGTTTTCACAGAGAAGTGTTTGATGTTGAAATTCATCACTATCAAGATTTGAATATGAAACATGTTGGAGTGAGCCATGCAATGTAAAGTGTTTTCAACTTCTATCAAGTTACACAAGAGATAACTTTGCTAGAGTCATAGGAACTATGAAAGATTTTATGAGCTTCTCTGATCTGCTACCTCTGAAACGCAGAAGAAAGGAAAATTACAATGTAAAATAGAGATTAACCACTACAGATTGCATAAAAGTCTCCAAAATGTCCACAGTCCGATCTCGCTAGTGTTTATGACTATAGATACATTAAATATCAAAGGAGAAAAAATTTCACAGGTCATAAAGCACATTGAGCTCAGCAAATGAGTTTGCTTTTGTGAGTTTTTTGCTAAAGACATCTTTAAGTTGTGGTTATCTGTGTGCGAGACTTCAACAAAGCTTGAATTTAAGAATTATGGTCACCGTGATTCATGCATTATAGATTCTGCACCATCTTTTAATATGAGTCATATCAAACAGAAAAAAGGCCATTTTAAGGAGGGTTTAAAAATATAACTTGCGTGAACAGTTTAATTTCTTATGGATTGATTTTGACAGGAAAAAATGTCAAATATCAGGATGATTTCCCAAACTGATTACCTAGAGCTGACAAATATGATTGATTTTAATCATAGAAAATCACCTTATGGTTTTGGATATTTTGCGCTGACAGGGGTGATAAGCGGATGTAATAGCTTGTTGAACTGGGATGTGCACCTCTATGGCTTGATTGCTTGCGTTTCAGATTTCACAAAGTATCCACAAGGTTGCAGACATCTGAAGGCGAAAAAAATCTGAACATTTGTCAGCTTTCCTTGTGCTTTTGTTTGAAGATTTTTACCTGAAAAATATGCCAGAAAGTGATTTGCAATTATTTCTTCTTGAATAGTATAAACAATTTAATAATGATCAAATAACGTCTTAGACAAACATGCCTTTATTTGGACATGGTTTAATCAACCATCTGGTGACTTTATTTTAAAGGAAAGATTCAAATTACTTGTCAGCTTCCAGGATTGAAAGGTCATTAATACAATCCATGATAAAGTAGACACATAAAAAATTATGTGCAATTCATCAAACTCTTTGAGTGACACATTCAAATAAAGCCATTGTTTCTTTTCCACTTTGATGTTTGAGAGGCCAGACCTGTTGTCCATAAATCAGGGTACAGCAGAATTACATTCTAGGCTATTATTCCTTTACCCCTTGTAATTTGACCTTCCAGAATTATTGTTCAGTTGCATCTGTTTCTGAATTTGAAAGAAGTCAATAATGCCAGACGGAAAATAAGTAATTTTGCCTTTAACTTAGAAGAACCATTAGATGCCAAAATTGAGTTTCCTTTCATGCTGAAATATTCAATAATTTAATAAAAGACTGTATCATTCCATTATTGAAAATAATAATGAGCATAATTATTGCCATGGTAACTAGTCAAGCCTAGCAGTAATGAGGGGTCGAGAAGGTGTGAAATTTGACCTTCTTTAATTATCTGCACATTTGTGTTGGATTATATCATTGGGAGACCAGTAGAACCAGTGATTAGTTGTAGTGGTGTCTTCCAACTAATAATACTGGTTGATTCAAGGTGAAACTTGCTACGGCATAATTTCTATTCTGCTTTTAGCTGTGTAATTTTGGTGGGTAAGTTTGTACATTTATTCCTAGTTCAGACAAAAACACTTGGCAGAATGAGTAAAGTAACTTGAGAGTTTTTAATAGTTTGATACCACATAATATTATATTACCAGTATTCATTTTATGCTGTTCAGTAATATCTTTTCTATGCATTGTGAAATTGAAATGAATATTTCTGTATAAGTTTGAGACATCTGTGTTATTTGGATCATTGAATCATTGATAACTCCAGCTATGAATGGGCATGGGTTCTGAAAATACATATTTTCTAGAATAATAATCATTGGAAACAAAGTGTTTTCTCTGTTGCTCATCTGCCAACCCTTTATTAGATGGGTGTGATTTGAACCAAACTTGATACTGGAAGTATTTTCCAGTATAATCCAAATAGATACATCTATTGCATGTTCACTTGCTGGAGCAAGTAATTAAGGAAATTACAAATATGCAAGTTATCAAGTCCTGAGAATGTAGGTGCTAACACACAGTTTGGGCAATGATTGATGATGTAATTATCATTAAGATATTTGAGATTTGTAGTGACGACCACTCCCTGTTATTCGGAAGATGACTCGGATGTTTATACTTACTAGAATGAAATAACGTGCACAGAGAGATGAATTCAACAAATCTGATTAGATATGCATCATTGTCACGCAATATCAAGACCCAAAGAATTATTATCTTTATTCTTCCAGTATTGTTAATTGAATAGGCAATATTTTGTCAATAATGAAAATATGGGAGGAACTTTTTTAATTTGCGTTAATAATGAAGTTTTGTATGCATCTGTTGATGAAAATCTTTTTGTACATAAATCTCCACATTTGCAATCGGTGCAGAGAATGATAAATATCTGCTAACTTGCAAAATCAATACTTGGTGTAAAAACTGGAAATAATTTCTTCAATTTTGATCCATTAGACATGAGAAAAATTGGTATTTTGCGCAGTTGTTATTTTGATTTAAAAGCAGGCCTGTTGATGGCAAAGACTAGACAAACACGTCAATTAGGCAATTGAGAGATGACAAAACTCTTACAGTCGCAGACTATTTTGACATCTCTCTCTCATCACCAATGCAAAAAGAAAGTATTGATTTTGCTCAACAACTGCGATAATTCCAATATCAAACTCAGGGATAACAAGATTTTGCGTCTTTTTATTTGTAAAGGTGTCGTATTGGCAGAGACAGTATTGTAATCTTTTGTGTTGCAATCTTACTGACAGGTTCATTGCTGGTGTGCCTTTCTGTCAGAAAGGCTTTAGTTGTATTTGGCTCCCTGAATACGAATGTGATCTTCATTTTATCAGGGTTGATAATGAAATTTACTTGCAGATAAAGCAACAAGATTTTGGTGTCGATAATATGTCAACAATGACATGTCGGAGCATGACATGTGCTAGCACTCATAGCCATAGCTTATTGATTCCATTCTGTCATCTTGCACGTCTGCTGCTCCGCCAAATGCAAATTATGACATGTGATTTATCACGATAATTATACTTCACTAACTCAGAAGCCGCCATGAAATCAGTTGGCCAAAAAGCTTCTTGTTCGCATTGGATTCAGAAATATTATTCAAGAAATGTCAATCCGGTTCTTGATCTGGCAGCAAAACAATTTCAAGATCTCCGCCATCGTAATTTGCATTTAAATGGGTTTCCTCCCTTGGGTTGAGGTTTTTGGGACTGTAGGATCTATTTATGAAAAATCTCATTTTGTCGAAAGTATCACACCAAATGAATGTGTAGTCAGGCTAGGGATTGATATTATTGTACTCTCAATCACATCATTACTGGCTTGAAAATTAACCATAAATTGCATTTACATGCACTATAAAGGATATTAATACCTAGATAATGAGAAATCATCTCAAATTTCAACTGGGCCAGGCCCATCACTCTAACTTCCTGTTCTTTTTTTTCCATGGTAATGTAATAAGCTTGTAATATTCTGAACTTTCACACCACTCTTCTATATTGTTTCTCTTTTCCAGATTGCAAGGTGGCAACATATTCCTAATGAGAAGGTTGCAAGATTCAGTTGAGCTATAGCCAGCCTGGATGACAAGAAAATGAAAGGCTCGTCATTCTCAAGGAGGTGATGAACATTCGGGCTAGCCATAGACTTTGATGTTTGAGTGAAGGAACATTTCTTGACTGTCTGGGAGAACACATCACAACAGTTAACATGGACATGTCCAAATCCAGTCGTCGGAAGCAGACAAAACCAATACGGGTATATGAGGGTGAGGAGGCGGTAGGCTCAGATCAGACTCCGCCCACTCAAGGAGCGCCAGAGAACTTCACAAATGGAAGTTCACAAGTGAAGGAAAATGGTCCAGAACAGACTGAAGACATGCCTGTTGACCTTCATGTGGCAATAATAACATGTACTAAATGCCCTGAAACTTTTCCTTCAAAGGAGCATTTCATGAACCATCTGAATGTTGTTCATGCATCTGCTAAGGAGCCCAAGATTGATACTGAGTCAATGATGTACAACTATCCTACAGCATATCATCGTCTTGGCAGTGAACTCCAGCTGGAGAACAAGATCATTGCCAATGGGCATGCTGAAGGTGAAAGTGAAAACATACCTCCAGAAACTCAAAATATTCCTGAAGTCAAAGCAGATGCTGAACAAAAGGACTTAAATGGTGATCACATGGGTGTGGTCAAAGATGGTAACAGAATTTTTCATCCTGATGCTTATTGTGAATTGTGTGATAGAGAGTTTTGCAACAAGTATTTCTTAAAGACCCACAAAGCCAACAAACATGGTATTTATGAAAATGCTCCATCACCATTTTCAATGACTCCAGGGCAAACAAATATGATCTTGCCACCACAAGAGCCTGTCCTACCCTCACCCTACAAACATGAGCCTGCCCCAACACCTTCACAACCATTACCTCCAAAGAAAGAAGCTGTGGCTGCAGTTCCTAAATCCTTCAAGCTTGATGCCACAGCAGTCAAGGTGGATACAACAAGCCTCACCTCCTCCAAGCCAGCAGCAAGTGAGATCAAGCCAGTCACCAGTGGCTCCTCAACTCAGCCAGATATGGAGGACTATTGTGAAATTTGTCAAAAGCATTTTTGCAACAAATACTACCTCAAGAAACATAAGCAAGATGTACATGGTATTGTGCCTGAAAACTCACCCTCTTCATCTGGTAAACGTAGTCGTGCTGCTTTTGATATTCCCATTACGGCTACTGTCACCTCATCCCCAATGATCTTACCTCAGACTATGGCCAACATGGCAGGTCTACCAAATATGCCTAACATGCCTGGTGTGATGGTCCTCAACCCCTTTATGCCGCCCGTCGCTATCATCCCTGCCCAATCCTTGCTTCCCCAGCAACAAGTGCATCCCCAACCCCATTCTGTCGTCTCCCAGCCACTGCCTGTGTCTCTTCCTGCCCTTCCTCACTCGGACCAAGTGCCAGTATCACTGCAGTCTTCAATGTCATATTCACCAATGTCCTCAGCAGTGTCCCTTACAGCTACCTTGGGAAAACCAACTCCTTCCATACCTAATGATGCGCTCAGGAGTATTGGGGTTCTGAATGCTGAGGCTTACTGTGAACAGTGTCGAAAAGAGTTCTGCAACAAGTACTTTTTGAAAATCCACATGGCTAACAAACATGGAGTTTTCAGTGATGACATGATTCCACCGCCATATGGAAAGTCGATGGATGCCCTTGAGAACTCAATGCTATCTCCAGTGAAGATACCAAAAGAAGTGAAGCAAGAGCCAGGATCTCAGATAAGCCCACCAGGTACAGCAGGCGGGGACTCCTATGTTACTTTCTGTAACCTGTGTAACAAGGAGTTTTCCAGTAAATATTCATACAAAATTCACCGGATGAATGTTCATGGAATGTTGAACGAATGCCTGCAAGAACCATCACTTGCTGATGGACCTGAGATTCCCATGTCAAAAATCGATAGCATAGCCATGAGTAGTTCAGAAGGTCTGCTAAAGGTGGCTGCCGAAGCACAAGCACAAGCACAAGCACAAGCCCAGCAAGCTTCTGCTGGAGCAAAAGATAACAGTGCCACTACAATATTTGGCAACATGATAGCTGCAAAGTTGGCAGACAGGGTTGTGTGTGATATCTGCAACAAGGAGTTGTGCAATAAGTACTTCCTAAAGGCCCACAAGCTTAGAATCCATGGTGTTGACTTATCTCCTCAGGAAAAGGCTGCAGAAGCAGAGAGGGAAAATCCTTATGATAGCCCTTATTCTAAATCAGGTTTAAGTAGTACACCCAAATCAGAAGCTAAAGACCTCTCTGCAATTACAGCTGAGATGATCACAGCAGATATCCTGCAAAGGTCTCAAGTCCGCAGCAATGCCAGTAAGAAACTTGATCTTAGCAACATAGCTCCAAACTTGCCATCAGAGAAACCATCAAATGAGGAACTTGTTAAACTTGGCATTGATCCTGAAGCTTACTGTGAAATTTGTAAAAAGGAGTTCTGTAGCAAGTACTTCCTTAGAACACATAGACTGAACATTCATGGCATTCGTACTGAAAAATCTGACCCTGACACAAGGGAAAAGGAGAGGTCTAAACAATCAAAGAGTTCTCTTTTCAACCAAATGAATGGATTTGGCCTAGGAGGTCTAGGTGTCCTGGGGGGCCTCGGAGGCCTTGGAGGCCTTGGAGGATTTATGGGGGGAATGCATGGTGGCCCCAATGGTATCTTCAGCTTTGCAGGAAATGGAGGCCTTCTTGGTCCACAAGTGCCCATTGGCACAGGATCTCTTGGAGGACCAGGAAGCTTGTCCCCAATGATGCCAGAACTTGCTCGTCATGATCAGCAAAATAGCATGAGAAGTCATAATGGTGGAGTAAGTGGTGGGACTGGTGGTAGTAGTGCTGGGAGTGCAAGCAGTTCAAGCAGTGGTAGCGGCGGCAAGAGTAAAGATGGATTTCAGAAACACACCTGGCGCTGGAAGGAACCTGTCAATTCTTCCAGAGTAGCATGTGAAATCTGTAACAAAGAACTCTGCAATAAGTATTTTCTGCGAACACACAAGCTTAACAAACATGGGATAATACCAAGTGACAAGTCTCCTAGCATGGGCAGCTCACCGGCCCCATCGGATTGTGAGACTGCCAGCAATGCATCCAGCCAGCCAGATCAGGCCATCTCGGACAGGGGGAATCAGACTCCAGTTTCACAAAATAGTAAGATTGACAGTATTTCTCCTCATCCATCACCAACTTTGGACAAGAGCTTTGAGAAGTCAGCAAATCAACTTAAGGCTGATCTCCTCAGATTGAAGAATGAAGAAGAGTTGAATAATCGCTACATAAACAACCAGTACAGTGAAGTGTGCAATCTCTGTGATCGTCGTTTCAAAAGTTCCAGATGGCTAAAGGCACATATCCTCAAAGATCATGCTGGTTGGCCGATGATGGATATGTTTGACCCGAAGACTTCTGGCCGCACTGGACTGCTGGAGACACCAGATCCCAAGGCTTGTACAGTTTGTGGGTTGGTCTTTCCCAGTGAACTTTCGATGCAGTTGCACCTTATTCAAGAGCACAATGCCCAGGTCACTCTGAAGACTGAGGAATCACAACAAAATGGCAATGGGGAATCTGGAACCCCTCCCTCAGAATTCGGATATGGCCTTGGTTTCAGGAAACGGGTATTCAGGGCAGATAAGCAGAAGCTCTATGCTTGTGTCCTGTGTGACTATAAGACAAAGTGGTTGTCAAATCTCACCTCTCATGAGATGAAGATACACAACCTCAGTAAGAACAGCAAGTTGTGTCCTAAGTCATTCCCAAGTGAACTTCTGCTTTCTCGGCATGTTGAGCCCCAGCTTGACGAGCCTCTTGATATTTCTCGCTCAGGGAGTAATAAGAAAATACAAGAGAAGAGATATAAGTGCAGCATCTGTGGCGACAAGTTTGAATCACGCATAGTATGTAATAGGCATTTGAGAGAAGTTCACATACGCAGAAAGAAAAACTTTGCCTCAAGAAACATGCTTCACAGATCCAGATATTCTTGCAGTCAGTGTTCGTATTCCACTCGTTATCCTCAGCAGCTCCAGCGCCATCGATCACGCTTTCATGCAAGTCGCAGCACAGGAGGCCCTCTGCAGGAATGGAAGGGGAACCTGGAGGAGGTCCATGCAGAACCTATCACCAAGAGTTACACTGCCTCTGCCCAAGTCCAATGTTTTGAACTGGCTGTGAACACTCCAGATAGCACCTTCCTCCCATCACTCGCGCACATGCCAGTTCGACAGCGTGTGTCAGAGCCAATGGCTGTAACGTTTATTCTTACGCCTGTCAACCCCTGACTGTTACCATGCATGTAGCCTTGAACTATTGAGTGAAACTATATTGTTGAGTAATCCTCAGGTACATTGTGTGATGTCTAGCTCCACACATGCTGTGCGTGCAATTAATTTGTTTGTTTTTTTGGTTATATTTTTATCATTTCTCATGGCCATTGACTTCCAAACCAACCAAGATACCAACATGCATGTGTGTGTGTTTGTGTGTGTGTGTATATATCTATATCCATAAAGTATATATATGAGTATATTTTCAGTTCTTTGAAAAGCAGGCAAATATTGGCAAAACCATAATTGATGAGTAAGACAGTGCTCTCTCTCTTCCAACCATAATACATTTCTCTCTGACATATGTAGTTTATATATATATTTAAAACCTCAGAGAATCTGCATGTAGTGTATATTGTTAACACCTCTGTATAACTAGTCATAAGCTGGCATTTACAAGTGTAAATACCATATTTATTCTATAGGACTTTCACTGCAAAAGAGTGACACCAAGCTATCAATGCTTTACGCCAAGTCGCCTGCACAATGGCCGACTTTTGCCCCACCAGTAGTGTTCAACATTGCGGGCAACCATATAGTACTATCTGTGATTGAAATGTGTTTTTGATAATGGAATTTAATCTTGAAGCATTTAAGTGTTGTTTTGTGGAAACGTAGACATACTTTGCGCGTGAAGGTGTTGCACAAGGGTGACAGTGGCATCTAGCTGCGGTCTGCTGCAACACCTCAGGAACTATTTTGTACATATTGTTGAAGTTGATATTTATAATAATCCATGGCAGTGAATGTATCCCTTGTGCAACAATGTTTCCCCCGCTTACTGTAGTGTTGTGAATATATATATATATATATATATATATTTATGTGTTAAACGTCTCTTATTTATATTGACCACCAAATGAATGAAACTTGATGAATATGATACAATGATGCTTATGCTTTTGTGAGGATCAAGATATGAGATGTCTTGCAATTGATCCCAATGAAAAATAAATGCACACACATCAAATGTTTATATGAAACAGAACATTTACTCTGTAATCGGCAAAGTGGAAATTCAGAAATTCTGTTCTTGTTTGAAACTGACGTTCCAGATAAGCTTAGTTGAGTAGGTAGAACTCGGCAACTTTTGTCAGTGTTACCTGATACAACATTCCAAAGGCTAACATTTGTCACTGATGATGAGGTGTATTTTGATGTGTGTGTATTGTGAAGGAAGAGAGAGAATACTGTTTCTACTAAGTTGTTTTAGCTTCTGGCAGCACAGATGTGTTCTCTAGTATCTCAGTATTACTTGCCAAAGCCATTTCAAGTTTTATCCATAGTCCAGCACACCTGCCCAAACATTTATATTGGAACATGGATAAAAAGACAACTGCTTTGCTAGATTTGCATACAGTTTGGCATTGCTTTGCTTGTGCGCAAAACAGAATTCAGTGGTAACAATGTCAATTTGTGGTATGTCAAAACCATTTGCCATTGTATAGGAAAAAAGCTTAGAGACTGAAAATAGCTGATATTGTCAGTGTTGAAAATATATGACGTTATTTATGTTACGAAGTCTTGGACAAACGTGTTTCCATGGTTTATAGGGATCCTGATTCAGTAGCTGATAGTATAACATGTTACAGAAAAGATGTGTGTGCCAGTTAATCCATTTGTACATGGATGTATTTGAAAGTCCTACCATATAAGCATTTTATGTTGTGGTGATGCACAGCTAACGTTGGGCAAGACATGAGCAATAACTCAGATTCTTTTACACAAGTGTTGTAAATTATAGATAGTTCCAGAGAAGTCAGATGTTTTTGAAATATTGTCAATTTTTTATTTAGTTAAGCTAACCCTTCTATCATCTACCTCGAGCAAGCCTTACTGTTTATAAGAATACTTGTATACAGTTGAATGAACAAATCTATTCGCCATGTTGTTTAGGACCTGTAGAGTTTTAATAGTGTGTTTAATATGTCTTTGTAATGTTAACAAGCAATCTATTTTGACCAAGTCAACTTTAGAATTCTTAACCAAAAAAAACAAACAATGTTCATGAATACATGAACATTGAATTATTTTTTAACCCTTCTAATCCCCATATTTCCTTGTTGTCATGGGAACACTACCAAGATTTAAGATTAATATAAAAATGTTCAATATCAGAAGATTGCATTGCTGTTCTTTTTACTGAGCTGTAAATGTTATTTTCATTTGATGTTCATCCCTTGAATGAAACTTGTTGAAGGCCACTGTGTTGGCCTGGGTTTGTTGTGTATTTTATTTCACAGCTTCTCCAGATGTGTTTTTGGGTTTTGTGTGATTCTCTATATATGGCATATTGTGATCTAAATTATGCGTGAGTTTGACGTGTGAGTGTGACATTTGGAATGTTGGATTCTTTTATTTTTTCATTTATTAAATTTTATGACATTCTATTTCGCGTGGGATCACAGTAGTCCAGTCAGTACGGATTTTCCCGCCTTCAGACAAACCTATTTATTATTCCATTTAATTTTCCATACAAGTATTCCTCTACCCACAACTCCCCTGTCCACTCTCATTTCAACTGTCATTTGGCGTGCCCATTAACTATTTTTGATAAGCACGTTTGTCTGCCTCCCATATCGCCAAAGTAATCACAGGAATCGCCTGCACTCGGAAAGTTTCCCTAAATCGTTGATTATACTGCATACCCACATGTTGATATGTGTGTTGGACAGTTAGCTTAATGCATTGTGTTGTGTGAATTCAAATGGGGAGATTTTTTTTGTTCACACCCCAAAGTTGATCCTATCCATGTAGCACAAAACTTCTTTGGTACACATTCTCTCTGATAACTCTAGTCCTATGTATTTGTGCAGCTATTTATTTTTGACTACAGTCACTTGATCAGTCTCTTGTGTTTAGGGATGGGTTTTGATTCCAGAATAGAAAATAATGGAGTAAGCGTGTGCATGAAAATGTTGTTTGAATAAGTATCATGATAGAAAGCTACTCCTAAGATCATATTGTTCATGTTGATCTCTCCATGAAAAGACAAGAAACTACCACTTTGATATATTTCATGCCTTTGTTGTGAAGGATGCTTGACTTTGTAAACTTTATTGTCCTCCGCTTGTATGTTTATGTTTGATGGGAAAGTCAAGAGACTGATATGGACTTTAAATCTTCAATAATGTCTCTTTAAATCCTGAAAAAGAACAGTGTATCTCTTTGACGGTCAAAGCTTATTTCCTATGAGACGTCAAATCAAATTGATTTTTTTCGTATTTGAACCTAGAGGATCAAATATCCATTACGAAAGAAGTCATTCCAAGGGAATGCCCCAAAGAGATGATATATTTGTCAGCTGGGGGTATTTTGGAAAATCAAAACAGATTAAGAAGAAAAATGATGCTTTCTAGGTGGATCAAGTTGTCTCTCATTAAGAGTTCCAGGAAAATTTGACGTAATTTTGATATGCATTCCAACATTTTGTCCCTCATCAAAAGATTTCTCACTTGCGTCATTGTACGTAGAAAATTGCTTTATTCTGAAGAAAAGGGAAAGAATGTGTTGTTAATGTAATTGAATAGTAATGAAGACTTAAGCTACCAGATGGGCATTTTTATGGGAGTCTTGAAATAATCTTTAAATTGAGTGCTGTTTGTGTTTCTAAGACATTTTCTCTGGGGGAGGAAGATACACATTATTGATTTATTAAAAGAAGGAAATTGTGCAATATGTATTTCTTCGAAAAATGTCACAACCTGACTCGTATAAATGAATAACTTTTGTAATTCTAAAACTTAATAGAAACTTTGGTTGTTTTTCATGGGAATAGCAGTATTGCAGGTAGATTATACTTGTAGTTAATGAGAAAGAATCTAAAGACATTAAATAACTTGTTATCAGTATAGAGTTTAGCAAAGATAAATTGTGTTCGAGATGAATATGAAAGTAGATTGTGTCCTTGGTGTGTCCAGCATCTCCAGCTAGTGATATCTCTAAATACTGTATTCCAATGTTACTGTTGATTATTTGTACCAGAGAAGTTTGTGAAGGAGAATGTCCTATGTGCAGCCATACTGCATTGTAGGTGTCTTGTCCTGTCTTCATGTCCTGTACAAAAATATGGGATTTGAAATTGACTGTTTTATTCATTAATTGAGTACAGATATACTTTCAGAAAAAGAGATGATCTTGTTTTTGAAAGTTTTATTGGAAAATCTTGTCTAGTCTTTCCTGGCATGTGTTTGCCAGTCGACCAAAGCATCCCAATTAACAGTGAAATACCTCATACTGTCGTATATCGTGTCAACTTACACGTACCATTATATGTTTGCTGTAAGTGTACATTTAAAGACTGCCTTTGTTAAAGTTGTTTGTCAACCTGTACATACCCAAGGTATTAGCTTTTACTTTCAGATGACTTATTAGTGCATAATATTAAATAGATAAATGGAATATGCTAGCAACATAGCATTGTTCACCTTCATGCAGCCCTCAAATGTCAGCTTGGTAGGCCAAGGTCCAAGCTCACCACCTTACCCTGTTTTATTCAATGCACGGCCAGTTATTTGGTTTGTTTGTTTGTTTGTTTTGTTACAATTTATGTACCTATCCCCCTTTGTTCTCTCATCTCAGGTCCTCAGTACTTTTCAAACTCCACCCTAGTTTGAGTTGAGCTGTTATTTATAATACTCCCAGAATTCTTTGTCCACTTCATAAGGACATGTTTTGCCATCTTACTTCTCAACAAAATAATAAAACCTAACTTCTTATTCCATTTCTTTGGCTTTTGTTTCTAGATGTTACCTGTGTGTTGCCTTGATGTATGGTCCTTGTCACTCTCCCTCCTTAGTTTAGCCAGTCCCAAGTGACTTTCCTATTCTGTGATGTTTGTCTGCCGACCTAACCAACCCAAGAATACCTCATTTTTGTTAAATAATCACATAATTACACCTGCACAGTTTGAGGGCTGCATGGCACATGTTATTACTGTGTATCTTTGTCTACATTTAGTCTACTGTGGAACACAGTGCGAAAATCAGGGATTTCTTTATTTATTATTTCAATGCACTTGTTCCCAATATTGTCAGAACTATTCTATTTTTGGTCATTGTTCAAGCGGGTCTGTCACAATCTGTCCAACTGGGTTAGTGTGTGTGTGTTTGTAGCTACTTCAGACAGGATACAGAGGTCTTGCCACAAGTAGTAGTCCTAGTGCAGAGTATTGGTCATAGGTGTCACACTTGTAGTAACACATAGGATACATATGCATATGGACTTGTGTCTCAATGAGTATTTGTTGTGTTTAACAAAATATTTTAATATTGAGTAACATTTTTAAGTACTATATTGTATTCTAATGTTTTGGATGTAAAGGGAACTGCCTGTTCTACCAATGAAATTAAATTGGAATTTATTATGTATACAGATTTTTCATATTGCTACTGAATCTTGCACATAATACTATTTGACATAATAACATTTAGAATTGTTGACAAACTGCTCCAGGTGTTAACAGCTTTGACTCTGCAATAATATTGAAGGCAATAACCAGCTGTAACACAGGGCCAGAATGTGGCCCTCATCCCCTGGAGCATATCCCTAGCAATACATAGATCAAACTTTGATGAAGCAAGTATGGAATATATCTTCTTAAGCAATAATTGTGTGATAAAGTTTCAGGTAGCTAAAGGCAAGACATAAAAAAAATGTTTGAACTTGTACATAAGCCAAGGTCACAATATGAAATGTTTCAGTGAAACAAATTTTAGAAATGTGTTGTAGATAGATTGGTTGTATGTAAAGTAATATTATCAAGCATCTGAAGTAACCACACACACTCACACTACCCTGCTTTTTACGTGTCCCTGCCCTAGGACCTGTATTATGGAGATGGTCTAAGGGCAGGGCCAAGCCTATATATAAATATTATACATACATATATATAAGCTGCATAATCGAGTGTAGCTTGAAATGTTTCTAAAGTAATATTTAAAACCTCTCCATGGACCAACAGTACAGGCCCATGATGCAGCTTACACGATCAGTTCCACTCCCGCCAGCCCTCCCTCCCATGGTCTAGTGCACACCTTGTTTGTACGTATGTATGCATATTTTGGTACAACATACCGTATTTTTGTATAGTGGAGTGAAGTTTGGCACCTGTCTATGTAGATTATGGTGGTTTTTTGTATGCAATAAAAGTCTTGACAAAGTACTAATTCTTGTCAGGTTGTCACTAGTGTGTTGTTCACAAGGAAGTTTGTTTGGTGTGAGTGCTGGTGTTGATGAGGCCGTAGCCATCAGCATGTGTGAGCGACAGTATCGCGGGATTGTTGTTATCCATTTATAAACATACACTTTAGAAAAAAATGATTCAGTAAAACGTATGGGTATTCATGTATGGGTATACACACATGTAACGCATATGTAAAGATACTTAGAGAATGTTCTCCCGTTACGCTGAAGTTCTGTGTATTGTTTTCGAGACACATTTCTTTTTTTCCCTCGCCATGATATGGCCGAAGTGATGCTGAATACGAGCAAAAACATTCTCACTAATTTCATTCACTCGCTATCAGCTAAGATTGACTCCTCTTACCGGAAGACGCTGGTCCATGTTCACGACGTCGACCACTTGTTTGCCTGTCCAGCCCACAGTATAGAGATGAAACTTGCACTTGAGGCCACCGCCACAGCGACATCGATACGGCAGTCAAAACCGACCAATGTGTCGATCTGCAATATTTCGTTTCTGGTGTGGAACAATGTAGAGGCAGTGGCCAGACCTTGTAGTTAAAGCGTGTGCTCGATTCCCAAACAGCGGTAGGGTAGCCCAGTGGTTAAAGCGTTTGTTTGTCACCCCGAAGACCCGGGTTCAATTCCCCACAAGGGTCAAAGGGGGAAGCCCATTTCTGGTGTCCCCCGCCGTGATATTGCTTAAAGTGGCATAAAACCATACTCACTCACTCGATTCCCCACCTGTGTTCGACGTGTGAATGTCATTCTTTGAGACCCCACCCTGATATGGCGATACGGTTTAAAGCATCGTAAAACCATAGTCACCCGCCTTAATCACAAACCTTTCGCACAGAACAACCTATTGCTGACATATACAACGCACATATGGGTATTTACAATCGGCTACAACGCTGCCAAAGTTAAGGTTTTCTGGTTTCTTTGAGTTCCACGTCTTCAGCACATCGTGCGGCTTCTGGGTTAGAAAAGATCTCCAGTAATCTAACCTGGTAAGGTGGTTCTGGTTTGTCCGGTCCAGGCTCGATTAGTTGAGGGCTGTGATATAGTTTGAATATTGCCCAGCATACAACAAAAGCAAGAAACAACTTGTTATGGTTCCAGAAAAGACGACGCACCATTATGACACAGTTGCACTTAGCTCTAGTTGATCAGACCCAGTGCAACAACATACACTGGACCTAAGGCCAGCCTTCCACAAAAGTTGAATTGGAAACTACTTGTAAAACACTATCATGTAGTTTCGTATCGGCAATGTTTCGTTTAAATATTACATTGGTAATAACGGCACATAATATCCCGTCACAGCCATTTACGGAAAAGTCAATTTGTTTGGACTCCCAAGTTTAGGTTCCCAGTAGCCTATGCTTGTAAAAGATGACCAAATGAAGCTGGTGATCGGGTTAGGTTGAACTTGCGTGTCTTTGCACGCCGACGGCCTGGAACGTTCTAATAATCAATCACTGGTTTCTAGAACATTTCCTAAGCAGCCCCATTGGTATGACACTACCCGAGACTATTCTCACTATTGTTACACTACTAGAGACCACTCTCACTGTCGTGACACTGCCAGACACTATTCTCACTATTGTGGCACTACCAGACTATTCTCACTATGGTGACACTACCAGAGCATATTCTGACTCCAGACACTACCAGACTATTCTTACTATGGTGACACTACCAGAGCATATTCTGACTCCAGACTATTCTCACTATGGTGACACTACCAGAGCATATTCTGACTCCAGACACTACCAGACTGTTCTTACTATGGTGACACTACCAGAGCATATTCTGACTCCAGACTATTCTCACTATGGTGACACTACCAGAGCATATTCTGACTCCAGACACTACCAGACTGTTCTCACTACGGTGACACTACCAGAGCATATTCTGACTCCAGGCACTACCAGACTAATCTCACTATGGTGACACTACCAGAGCATATTCTGACTCCAGACACTACCAGACTATTCTCACTATTGTTACACTACCAGCGACTATTCTCACTTAGACACTTCCACTTGTGATTGAAAGATAAAAGCTCAAACCCCAAATAGTTGCAGTAAGGGAACAATGTGTTTACACCATGTGATTCAACGTAGAAGCATATGACATGACAAGACAACAATCAACACCTCATAATGATCTGACACTGTCTCTCAGTTAGGCTCCTTAAGTATCTGGTTAGCCCCATCCCCTCCTACCTGTTTGCAACGCATACCGCAGTTCTACCGGAGCATGGAAAATGAACATGGTACGGAATGAGATTCATTCATTAATCTAATTAGAACACATTTATTGTATAAGTCAGGGAGACTGCTTAAGTGGAAATTGAGTCAAAGTATCACATTCAGTTGTTGGAAAAACTACCGCTGCTGCTGACACTTTTAGTAGAGTTCAATTGTGAATGTTCTCTCATTCGGAAAAGTAATTTACAAGAAAAAAGTGTACTAAAAGAGCTGAACTTGACTCTGGGAGTCATTATATTTCTCTCAGAATTAAATTTTGAAAACGTTTATTGCTTTGGTGTATAATCATGTTGTGAATAAAATAGTAACACTGAGAAAAAACACTTGCTTGATTAAACTGAAAATATGGAGAAATCTCTTTACCTCATTTATTTTTAAATATTTTAACATTAAAGTAATGGCGAGGAAACGATGATATCCAGAATGAGAATTATGTTTCTTAATGTCTCATTCCGACTTTTTGCACGCTTATTTTGACTGTCTAACGGGATTCAGGGCAGTCGCCCATGCAAGAGTTCCTTAAACAAATTGACTTATTAAAATGCAATCACTACACAGGCTAGATAGCGGAAATATTTAATGGTGATTGTTTGGAGTTCAAGGAACACACTGGACAGAAGACGAGCAAGGAAATATATTTCTCTACACATGAATACATCCACATTTAATACACATGTGTGTACACGATTGTTAGTGAACTGGAATACAATAACTGGATTTATTGACATTTGGTCTTTTCAAATTACAAGCGATCACCGTTGAACTCCGGGCTACCTCAATATCAGGATACTTTGAAGAAAGAATAGTTGATTAACTTGTCGATCATCTGTTGAGCCGAATCAGTTTCCGGACTTCGACACAACCGGAGCCTGAATTAGAATGTTGAGTATTTAGATGTATTCCTGATTCACCGTTTGTTTGTTGTTTAACACCGCACTCAGCAATATTCCAGCTATATGACGGCGGTCTGTAAATAATCGAGTCTGGACAATCCAGTGCATCGATCCACGCAACTGGGATACGATGAGATGCATCAACCAAGTCAGCAAGACTGACCACCCGATCCTGTAAGTCGCCTTTTACGGCATGCATGGGTTGCTGAAGACCTATTCTACCCCAGATCTTCACGGGTCTCCTGATTCACCGAACTGTTAACTGTTACTGATATTATGAGTGGTGGTTGCATTAGTCTACATCTCAACTCTCAGAATACATCAGGATATACACACACTTTTTCGTTGATATGGATGTTCCCATAACCGCCCGATAACCCTCGGATTGACGTGTTTCCAGACCATGGAACATTAAATACAGCTCACTTGCCCGTTGTTGTAACTGTCCGATGGTAACATCCCCATATATAGACACAGTGCAATCATGTTCAGTCAGGAATGGAGACTGTTCCAAGAAAACACAAACGTGAATGTCACGTCTTCTTAAAGAACTTCAAAAGATAACTAAAGAGTCTTTTCTCTCTGACCTAACCTGACCTAACCATCATTTGGCTCAACATGTACAATGGACATCGGTTAAAGAATTAAAAAGAAAAGGCTATTAATTATGCTAATAACATTACCTTTCTCATTCTCTGACATTCGACGTGGTGTCTGAGGTAGCCTACAGGTTAAAGCGTTCGTTCTTCACGCCAAGGGTGGTTCGATTCCCCACATACGTACAACGTTCGAAGCCTCTTTGGGATGTCCCTCAGAATGTTGCCGATGCTGCCGGAATATTGGCAAAGGCTGCGTAAAAGTTTAGTCACTCACTTACGTTGGACGCGACGTTCGCATAGAACAAAAATGATGTTTGACGCGACGTTAACATTGACAAAAACTGAAGTTTGACGCAACGTTCATAATGACTAAAACTGATGTTGGTGTCAACAACGACAAAAAAAAACTGCCGTTTGACACGGTGACTTCCACAATGACAAAACGTTATGTTTGACCTGACGATGTCAACAATGGCAAAAATTATGTTTGACTCGGCGACGTCCACAATGCCAAAAACTGATGTTTGACATTAGATTCGGAAAGATCGAGGGAAACCCAGTCGCTGTGTTGAGTTGCGTCCCTTAGGCCCGCCAGAGACATGATCGTGGGTTCGATCCCGGGTCGCCTGTATTATGTTTCAAGGTTTGTCAGTACCATACCCGTGCCTGTGGGCTTCACCCAAGTGGTAAAAGTCTGAGACATGCACCACTTCGGGCTTTCCTCCAACATTATGCTGGCACGCTGTGACATAACCCAACCCACTCACTCACGCAATAAAACAGAGAGGAAGGTGAAATTGTGCTGTTCAAAGACGAACAAAACGTCTTCTTTTAATAAGACAAGGTTATTTCCCCTGCCTTCTGAAACAGGCATGCCTGTACTTCCACAGTAACCTTTCAAATGGAATCGGTCAATAAGGGTCCCTTCTGTAGTTAGTGCCTACATTTAAAGAATGGTTGGATTGAAGATTCTTCCAACAGACTGAAGCACTGTGTGTTAGAGTATTGTTATTACTCTCTGACAATACACGCGAGACGTTTGTACATTGTACTTATAAGCCAACAGTGAAACGCTGATGCCTCAAACGCCGAGATTAGTGGCCAGGTATGCCCTCTGCATGATTTCTATCCCTCATGGTGTAGTTTCAAAAGTGTAATGACTCGTAATGCTTATCATCGATGCCATTTTCGCACCATCAAAACGTTTTTTTT